TGTATTACATATATGTGCAGTAAAGTAACGTGACCAATTTCAGACAACAGGTTCAATAGAGTAAAATTTGCGACACAGATAACATGCTGACTACATACCCATATTCTACCGGTAAGCCTTATAGCAAACGTCAATAGTTTCGTTCGCGCACAGTTTCGTGGCACGGGCTAAAAGGTTAAAAAAAATGTTAGAACATACCAAGAAAACGTGTGCGAACGCTTAGTATGGGCTGAGAAATGGTAAGTACGAGCTAAAATGATAAGATCGATTTTCAAGAACGGTTAGCTCGAACTGAGCGTCAAAAACATCATTGCATTCAATGTCCATTTTAATTGGAAGATTTACTATTATATAGATAACTATTCATTGTCGCTATGTCATCTCCGACCTGAAAATAAACGCAAACACATAATCTTCATTCTTAATATTACATTATTGTCTTATAACCATAGAACTAAAATATGATGAATACATTCCTGATTACTGTGCTGATTAATACTAGTCAAACGAACTGAAGGTTTATATATTGTTAACAGTTATGGGCGTTCCTTATTAGTTTGTGCTAACTACTGTTCCCTCCTGTACGTGAACGCAATTGGGTCTAACCGATATGCAAATAATCAAGATGTTTAGTAGCCTGTACTTGGTGTAGCCACAACACGACAAACACTGACGTCATTTGTCAAACAAACAAACGAAGTCAGTACGAAGCTACTCACAAGACTGTGTCTGATTGGCTACCCAACCCTGACGCCTAACAGTCAGACCAATCAGAGAGCAGCTTGTGTATATGCTTGGACTCAACTGAACGCATTTATGCCGCGTTGCTAGTCACGCACTGTTCTTTTGTTGTCTTAGATTTTACACTGGGAAACATATTTTCAGAAAGGCTGATAAGCAGACAAATAACTATGTTGTCTGTATGTATACATACATATTTATACGAGGTGTATGCGACATTTTCTGCTCTACCATTGATCTTCATTGATTAGACAGTCAGTCAGCATTTGAAGTGGTATTTTAGTCATTTCTGGTACATTTGGTGTCCTTAAAAGTGGTTACCTGGGATATCAGGATTTCTTTCTAAGGCCTATGATTTACAGACAACTCTGGTTCATAGAGTCATATTTTCTGCCGTCGTTGGCGCAACCACAGTCACTCTGACTGTGGCGCAACCATCAATAAACGTCACATATTTCATTACTGTTGAATTGTGTTCAGTAAACCCTTCCTATAGGTTGCATTCTCGATTGACTAAGGACATATTTGACGTGAAAATAACGTCCTAGTAGTTGTGAAAGATTCAATCTGGTTCAGAGCACCTTTCCTATAAGTCACGCCCTCTTTGAGCAAATCGTATCTGTGACGTCAATGGGTGTAACGAACATCCTTCACAGCATAAGTATTGTTTTGATCTGTCGCAGCGACTTTTTTACACTGTAAATATGTAAACAACATTTGACTCCATAACCAAACTAAACAGTGCTTTCTAGTCCAACGACATTGTTTACGCAAATCTCAGGCGACAAAACAAAATTAGTTGTCATAGCACCAATCTACTCAGTACATTAAAATTATGTTGACGTCATGAACCGCACTTTGTCTCTAGATGGCGCAATTCAACCCATCCAACGGGGTACAACACACACTTACATGATTCGTGCCAGACGCGGCTTCGTAAATGTCCGGCGAATCATATATTTAGCGAGACTCGATAACAGAAAACTAAAATGGCTGCCATTACATTGTACATAGTGCACAGGTTTACCTCTTGAAAATAATACTGAATGCAAAAAGCAACCTGAATTAGGATTATACATTCCCGAAAAGCCGATATGAGCTGTGAAAACTCGAAAAACACTGGCGCTCAGTCAATGCAACCATGGAGGTAAAAGACAGATTACCTCCATGATGCAACTAACATTACTGGAGGGAAAATAACTGAAAAATCAACAACAAAACTGAAAAACGCAATCATTAACAAAAATAACAGCTCCTGTTACCGACACGCCGACTGCCCAGGAAAACTAGGAATAAAAAAAAACTTTCTCGAAGGAATTTGAACAAAAAATCTCTGAAAACTTTACCCGTCAAACTGTTGGGCGTGCCCAGCCTGGGGAAAGGTACAGGTGCCACACATTGTGACATAGAAATATAAAAGAATTACATACAAATTATTTGAAAACTGCTCTGTGGCGAGGCTGACATAGACTGGTACTCAAAACCTCTTTTGGACCAACCTCAAGTACCAAAAAAATCATCAATCTTGGTCTTAAAGTGAACCATGTGTTGTCGTTCAAAGCTGTTGTGTGTTTTTTGTAATTTAGTGTTTGTTATTTATTTGTTGAGGAGCACAATATTAATATAAAAAAATACATGACTGAAACAAAAATCAATACATAATAAATTTTCCAAGTTTATAATTTCTAATCATAGTATAACAGTTTTCTTCGTCTTTTATCCCATCTCCGTTAGAACACGCTATTTTTTGGTGAAGGTGTGAAACCGTGAAAACAACTGACGCCGTCCTGGTATGACTCCGCATTGTTCTTGTTTTCACACTAATGATTAGAACTTTCAGATAGGCGAGGCTCGAATTCCAACGGTGTTTGGTGGTTTAGAGGGACGCCACAAACTGCCATTTGGTCGCTCGTTGTGGCGGCACACTGACTGTAACAGTCCTATCGGCGAGGAACTCGAACCAAGATGCCATACAGGCGTAATGTCTCTAATTACTTTTTTAGCAATTGGGATGGAAATATTTGTATTTCAAAGCATATTAATAAATATGACGCAGACAAAAACTATATGGGTGTGGTGTTCCAGTAAAAACCTGAATTCTTTTTGAAAGAGACTTGTTTCTCGGGGTGTACAAGACACTGAGTATTTGGGGTGGAATGCCCCGCAGCCAGTTGAAAAACTGAAACCAAATGGTGAACATTGTGGGCGTTTTGGGCTGGAAAAAATGCGCTTTTTACACGCAATGACTGTTTGATTTTCAAAAGTTTACAGTATATTACATTTAATGAAGCGTTTAGACGGAATGAATGTGATTTTCGTGAATTTAGAGGAGAAAAAAACGATGTAAACATAGTGCAAATAAATAAAAACCAAGTATATGGAAAATAAATGATTAAGTACATATTTAAAAAAAAAAAATATTATTTTATCAGACATTATCGTTTAATTTATTTTAATAGGGAGTACTTTCGTTTTTAATTTGTGTCACACTCGTTAGGACTTAAGAAAAAGTTGGGTCTGTTGTCAACTGCTCATGGCTGGGAAATTTGTTTCGATACGTATTTTTGTGCTGTCCTTTTTTTATTTGTATTTATCACTTTATCTGCTTCATACTACGAAATAAATATGTTTTAAAACTAGCTTGGACATCCTTTGAAATCAGGGGGGGGGGATAATTGTCTAATTGTCTCACTGAGTTTCAGTTTCCACCGATGAGGGCAAACTATACTACTCCCATGATGCACTATAACGGAAATTGATTTGTTGACCAAAGATGGCGGTAGCAACAAGCTGAGTGTGTCAACTTGTCAGTAGATTTGGTTGTTTGTTTACGTTTATTCAAACTATAGTAAAACCATGGCGTGGTCTGCACAGCAGAAGAAACTGGAGGCTAAGTCAAAGGGAATTGAATCTATGAATTCAACGAGATTTAGTGCATGGACGCCAATGAATCACCCCAAAGCAAACGAAAAGGTCAGTCTCATGACAGTCAATTTAGTGTTGAGTGCCAATGGGTCCGCGTAACTGTAGTTCTGTGGCTCATAGATTCATCGCAGTTTTTTTGTTTATCGTCTTTAGGGTTATTTCGTCCGTCTGTGTTACCTAGCGATACACCGATAGGCGAAGCCTGTATATACAGACCCGATATCGAAAAACGCCGCGACTTGCAGCAGTTTTAGCAGAGACATAAGCTATTCGGAGCTGCTAAACCTGCAACAAGCCGCGGACATGGTCAGTGATAGATGTAACAAGCCGGTAGGCTGGTTGGCGATCCGCTCCGCTCAGAAACAAGCAATATGTTTTTGGCTGTTTCCATGGTGACATAAACGTGAAGCTAACGTCGGTTTATAACTAATAATGAAGTTCGCAAACACCATTCAGTCTTTAGAAGTCACTTAGTTTATTACTAGGACCACAGTCACTCTACTAGTAGAGTGACTGTGCTAGGACGTATTCTGCTGTTGCATTTATTATTTCCAACCGTTTTGCGATAGGATTTTCTAGAATGAAGCGTTTCCTGTAAATGCTGGAAAGGAAATAATGAAATAACGAAACGATAAATATTTACCTAAAGTACAGTGCTTTGACTTTCATAATAATATACTAAATAATGCAAAACACTAGTCACGGTGAGTTATTTAAACATACGACTCATAATCGGAAAATATGACCACAGTCCAGAATTTCAGACGGATATTAAGCAACCTAAGAGCATATCAGAAACATTTACCCTAAAATATAAAAAAGAACTGCAGTCCAAAGTCAAGAATGCCAGCAAATAAAGGACTCTGTCCCGCAAAAAACTATACCACGCTTGTCAAATCTGGGTCAAATATACAGTACGCTACTATCTTGCCACAGATTGTTTAGTAGTGGAGTGTTCGGTGACCATTGAATTAGCCCGTTATACATATTTTATGTGTATTAATTTATTCATCAATTTTCGTGACTGACAGTACTGCCCAAATTTTAGTCAAAAAAAACGCAACTGGTGAAACGGAAGAGCATCGCCAGGCGATGGACACGGGGCTCGACCGCATAGAGGTCAAAATACGTGTTCTATTTTTACGCGTTAAGTTTAGCTCTTCCGCAGGGTTCTCCACGGTTTGAAAATTAAACAGGGCGC